AGGGGCGGCGGTAATGAATTCCCCCCGGCGGCTGTTGGCGCTTGGGGGCATCATTAAAAAAAAAAAGGAGGAAGAAAAAAAAAAAAGAAAAAGCTACTGGCAGTTTTTGAGGCAGCGGCACCTACGATTTCTGTGCTAACCAGCCTGGTTTCAGTTGCTGTGAAATTCTGATTTGCTTTACTTAAACACGTGAATAAATGTGTGCAAATTAAGGCAGAGTGTCCCTGTTTTACTTCTTGCCGGGGGTCTGAATTTTGCCAATGTTCTGTGTCAAAATATTCCATGTCCAAAAGCCATCATTTTCTGGGGGTGTGTGTGGAGGAACAGATTTATTTGGTTATGACTTCTGTGTAGTGGGGTGCCTCCTCCTCTCCCCCGCTTCAGGTGCTGCCTGTCTGTGCCCTGCAGTGTGGGGCTGGCCGTGTAGGGTTGTGACTTCAGCTTTTGACCATTTGAAGATCCTAATGCTTGGAATGTATTTTAATCTAAATCTAGGTAGGAGAGTTTTCAAGGTGCAGGTAGCAGGCACCTGAAAATAGGTTCTTCAGAGGTTTTTGTTAATCAAGATCCTTTAGCAGAAGGTAGTGGGATTTGTCCAATGAAATTTCAAACTCCCTTCAAGGAGCTAAGCAAAATCCCTAGCATGTGTGCTGATAAGCCACTTCTGCCGATTTTTTAATTTCCTACCATATTTTCTTATAATACCAATCAGGTATTATAAGTGTATTATCAGGTATTATGAGGGGAGAGGCAAGTCTGTAGAGCTGAGGGGAAGAAACTGCTTCTTGTGTTCACGTGGATCATTAGCTTCAAAATTCAGTCTGTTTCTAGTGTGACTTTGGAACAGATGCAGGCACTGTTCCCATAAACAAGTTTGTCTTTAACAGAGGGTGGCTGAGATCTTGCACTCAGTTGCCATAGCAAAGGACTAGCACAGCTGTTGCCTTTTATCACTGGGTCCAGAATTTCCAGGGTTTTGGAGCAATAATAACCTTATGTTTCTGCGAAGCGAAGGAATTACCCAAAAGATTTTGGGTGGAAGTCAGTTCATTGGTTTTAACCTGCACAGCCTTTTTTATATCCGATTACCTGAAAAACTGCATCAATCCATGTGTTGTAAAGCTGCATTGAAGAGCAGTAGAGATTTTCAAGCTAGAGTTTTCCTGATTTTATGGGAAGGAGGCTGTTGAACAGCTGCTGTGAATGACCAGCCTTGGTGGAACCGTTTTCATCCAAAAGACCTCTCAGAATATTCTTAAAGTTTAGGATATGTCAGAGTATCTCTGTGTACTGCTGGTTTGGGATGGAGATAGTCATTTGACTTTGATGAAACTCCCAGTGTGAGCCAGAAGAGCTCCAGTTAGTGACAATAGGAAGTTGGCCAGCAGGTTGATCTGTAAAAAAAAAAAAAAAAAAAAAAAAAAAAAAAAAAAACTTGTACAGTCACTCTTGGATATTTTTTAACTGTGTAATGTGTGTTTTTCAATAGCATAATCTGACTGGACATAAAATAGAGAAACAAATATAAACATTCCAAACCGTCCTTGAGATTTGTCAAGATGAGCCTTATTTTCCGCAGTGAATTGTAACAGGGTCTGTCTTAATACCTCTTCACTGACATGGCAGGAAGTTGCATAACACACACGAATAGAAAACATCTTCTTAAGAGAACTGGGTCATGTTTTTAGTATAGTAACTTCTAACTTACGTGGATTTCATCATCAAAACTAACAAGCAGGGTCTCTAACCCATTCTCCATCCTAGGCAGCGAATAAGATCAGAAGGATAATGTGCATATATGAAGTCAACTGATTCCTTGTGAAAACAGTGTTGGGTA